GAAGAATTGAGGCAGTTCTGAAGGCAAAAGGGGGTCCAACCCGTTACTAGCATGGGGTACCTAATAAAGTGGCCGGTGAGTGTATATCTTAAAGCATACACTGGGTGTTTTTGGGTATTACTGGGATGGGATACATTCGAACATCCCCAAATTTGTGTTTTTTTCCCCCCTCTTTTGCAGAATAGATCCATCTATTAGCGGCTACAATATCCTCCACTACTGGTTTCCTACAAATCACGCCACATCCATCGTACTGATGGAAAAGGTTGAAGAAATGTCTAAAGCAGTAGAGAAGGGAAACTATTCTGTAAGTTATTTTGCTGACCTTAAATAATACTTTTTTAGTTGATTAGAAAGCAAACATCTCCCACATATTTCCTTCACTGATGATGCCATGTTGTTCCACGCTGAAGAAAATGTAATATAAATGGGAAAAAAAAGTTTTTGTTTTTTTTTAAGGAAAAATTTACATAAAAATATAATGAAATTTAGAGAACAACAACCGGAAATTTAGTCAACATTTCTGTTGATATGGAGATGGTGTAGTTAAGTGTGGAAGGGAAGATACATTTATTTGTTATTGTTAATGATAAATGTAATTGGAAGTCATTTAAGTAATTAAAAAATTAAATATAAACTTTACTTTATTAGATAGAAAAGTAAAAGATTAACTGAATGATGAAGCCATGTATGTTTATGTTTTATAACTGTGTGCAGTGGCGGTTCTAGACCAAATGTACCAAAGGGGCCAGGAGGGGGCCAGAGTTGTTTTCAAGGGGGCACAGAAAAGCGTGAAATAAAAAAACACGGCAAGGGATCCAAATAAATTAAGAGAGCTGCATAAAGTAAAATTTCTATTCAATTAGGTTTAATTAAAACTCTATTTCTTATTAGGTCAATATATATTCAGGATTTTACATATTTTTCACATAATTTAAGTTCAAATTACCGTTTTTTTTTTTTTAAAATCTGAAGTAGAACTAAAGAAAAGTCGATAAATTCACCTGTAAAAAGTAGAGCATTAAAAAAAAACATTTAGTAGATGAAATCTGGGATCCTATTTCAATACCACAGAAGCCTTATCACCTTATTGTTTTTGAATTATTAGTAAAACAGAATTTGTAAAGAAAAAAAAAGTAACAAAGTATTATGTCTTCAGTGCAGGGGCCATAACAGGGGCCAGGACATGAGCTGCAGGGGCACTGGCCCCCGTTGGCCCCTGTCTAGAACCGCCCATGACTGTGTGATTGTTCTTTATGTGGTTGATTATTGGGTAATTTGGGGGTCTACCTGTAAAACATATTCCAACTCAATTCATATTAACACAAAAGACTCATCAGCATAGAGCAGCAAAGAGAACCAATAAATCCAAAACTCTTACGATTGAAACCGATGATGCTTTATGTCATAACTGCTTTGATGACCAAGGTCCAAAATCATTTTACAAGTAAAGCTAAAGTAAACATTAATTGCATAAGAAAATATTTATAATTTGAAAGGTTTAGAGATAAACAAAAAAAATAAAAAATAAAATCAGAATGTATAGCAAAGTTAATGTTACACAGGATTAGTCTATGTCATAGTTTAAAGGTGTAGTGGAAGATTTTTGCAAATTTTTGAAAAAACCCACCTTCTCCACTTCAAAAAAAAAAAAAAAAAATGCACAAGCACAACCCTGTACCCGCTCCCGAGAGGGAATGTCTATTAAAGGTGTGTGAGAGCGTGCACGAGCACATTTCTTCTCATGCACGCTCTGTTTAAAAGTTACTGTTTGCATTACTTATACAAGCTACTTTCCAAAAGAAGATTTGTATTTTTCCCACTATGTCAGACTCTCCACCGATAAGGGAAAATGGAGACGAGCACACAGGACGACCTTTACGTAAATATATCATCAGCATGATTGACAAGTAGGAGGACCACTTATTTAGATGATTTAGATGATCCACCTGAAAAAAGAACACCCTCCACTATTTCTTTAACCTAAAATATAAAAGAATGCAAAATAATGTTTAAAAAATAAAGAAACCCAATATAAGGACTCGTGTTAACTCAGTGAGAAACCTCATGTTTTTTGAGATCCCAACTAGATATTTCTTCCTCTCTTTCTATTTGGATAAATAATTTACTGATGTTTACACTATTATATTTTTTTCTAGCATTTTTTTTTTTTTTACAATGATAGTGTTTATGTACAAAATAAAAGTTCCCATTGCTACCCCCTTTCATTCATTTTTATTGTTTATGAAACATGAATTGTTTTATTTATGAATTAATTGAATATCAGAATCAAATCAAAGATGACATGTCATATAATATTTTGAGCTCTCAAGAGTGCTATTAGCCATGCAATTGATAAATATATTTATTGGTGATCAAAACAGCTGTGACTAAACATGTCTGCTCTGATGTTGAACATAAAGAACGACAAAACGACGTTTTTACCCAGTTTGCTTCATACTTCCTGTTTAGTCTTTTTTTTTCCAAACTACAATGCATATTTCTATTCATTCATTAGCTTTTTTAAGCAATAATTTGCTTCTTTCTGTGTAAAACAAAGGTAGTTCTACACAAAATTTACCAGAGGGGCCAGGATGGGGGTGCAATAAAAAGTATATTAACTCAGCCACAAAGCCATAGTTGTATATTACTAATCCAACAGATGAAAACTGGTGTTTTTATCTTAATCCAGCCAAAGCTTAAAGGTGACTGACATTTTTTAATAATTTAGTAAAGGTGAGAAATTTAATTGGTCCAAGGGACAAATCAGCTTCAAACTGCAAAAATGGTCCATATAATCAGGCTCTAGCCAAAAAACCTTTGATAACAAAGAGCAGATTCTGTTAGATTAATAATCTGCTAATCTTCTTTCGAGAAGATTCTACTCAAAATAAGTGCAATAATCTGCCAAAGCAGTGAGACAATTACACTTCATAAGACTTCTTGAAATCATGATGTACATTCTCAAAACAAGATCAAAAACATCTTGGCTAGCTCTAATATTGTTAAACAGTTTTTACACTGCAGTCCCTTCTGTCAGTGCATATCAAAATAAAAAATAATTTTGGTATTACACAGCAAAAACTATTCTAAAAAATAAAAATGTATGTTAAATATGCATATTTGCCCATAAACTGAGCAGATAAATAATAAATAAGCTGATCTACCCAAGGAATTTGTAATTTTGCTCTTGAAATAAGATAAATATGTATTATCTACATAACATAAGATAATTGAGAAGTTTTAAAAAAATATTTTAAAGGGAAATATTCTTATTGTATTAGCAAACTCTTACTTACATTCTCAAATCAAGAGAAAATACACATTTGACAAGAAAATGTAACATTTTAACATTTGCAATATATGTTTTATATACAGGGGCCAAAAGAGGGGCCAGGATCAGTACTAGAGTCTGTCTAGAACTGCCCATGGCACACGTTCCAAGAAATTCATTTTTATTTTTTAGTGTTTTTATTTTGATGGCTATAAAGACTGTTAACATATGCCGTTTTAAATGGATTTATATATGGATTTAACTTTTAGATTTGAACTGCTGGAATAAACCAACTTTTTTGATCATTTTCTTATTTATCAACATGGATCTTTACTGCGTCCAGTCCAGTTTGCGTTATAGTGAGCGAGCCCATCATCCAGCGCTGGCAAACACAAGTAGCCTATTCATTATTCATGTCATTGCAGTTGCTCTGTTATGATACAGTCCTGTTTGGAGTGGGCTACCTGATTTGTTCAGCGCGTCCGTCAAAGCAGTGCGTGGCCTTGCGTCGGCTGGCTGTGTGCGCTCATAGGTCGGGCATAGAAGAATCACAGGAGGAGGGGGGGAGGAACGGCACAGTGCGCGCATACGAGACTGCGCGTCGCAAAGGAGGGGGAGAGGTCCAGCTGCAAAAAAAAAAAGAAAAAAAAAAAGAAAAAAGAACTGGAAAAAAAGAGAAAAAGGAGGAAAATACGGCGTGACAGTGACAACATCAAGCTTCTAGTAAAAGGGAGATCAGACGCGAGAGGAGGAGGGGGGGGCCGCCGCAAAGCAGGAGTTTCAGAGTCGACGGCCGCTTTGCCTGTCCCGAGAAAAGAGGCGATATCGGGACATGCTGGCGGTTCCGTAACGCGTTTCCTGGAATACGAATCCTTCCCAGGCTGAGCGACATGGAGCGGCGGCGGAGAGGAGAGCCGCTCCGTCTCCATCACTGAGAGGCGCGTCCACCTGCTATTACTGGAGGCCCGGGCTGCTGCTGCTGCTGCTGCTGCTGGTGGAGGGGGGGATATGCAGGGGAAGTGTTTGCATTTCGGGAAAAGACGCATCTTCTGATACTGTCCAGCGCGCCTGAGAGGGATCCCATTGCGACGGAGGAGAAAAACCAAGGAAAAAAAGGGGCGAAAAAAAAAAAAAAACCCCGCACACGCGCTCCGGAGGTAGGTCCGCAAATTATTATGCTGCTATTCAACGTGCCGTGTGTGGCTGAACAGCCAGCGAGCTCTATTAGGTATGCACATGACAACTAGGACCACAAAACCGGGTTATATTCCCCAGATTTTGCTGCGATCAGGCTTTTATTTGTGCTGCTTTATAAAGGAGGAGAACAGCGTGCATGCGGTGGAGAGTAGCAGCCCTGCCTCTTTGGGACAGCTGCCTTTAAGCCTACATTCATCCGTCTCTGCTCCATCGATTACCCATTCCCTGCGAAAAAATACCCCCGCTTACCTAAAGCTCAAGCCCCCACCTTTTCTCTGAGGTTTGAAATAAATAAAAATAAAAAAAATCAACATAAATAAAGGATCCCACGTGTGGCTGCTCCAATGTGAGGCAGCTAGGATGCTCTATGTGCATGTTTTGGAGACAAACAGTGGCCTGTGAACGTCATTTTGAATAAACGTTATGCATCCTGAGCAGTGCTGCCCCAGTATGAATGCAAAATGAATGGATCCAGATTCCATACTAATGAATGATTCATAAATGGGTTATTGTGACCTAATGGGATAACACATTTTGCAGAGACTCATCTAATTTATCATCCATTAACAGTATTTTTTTATTTAAAAGAAGAGGAGATCTGGCCTTAATGTAAAGCATGGCAGAGTGCACACAGGTGCAAGCAGGGGCATGTGTGAATGCCTGCACTGTGGGGTCACTAGATCAGTAGCTTAGTGTGTCTCTGCTCCCCTTTAAGGAGGCTTCATGACAGATGTTTACTGGAAGTCCCAGCCAGGCACACAGCCAGCAGCATTCTAAAAAATAATGAGCTGCAGACCTCAGTAACAGCCTGTCTGCATGGCTCTGTGGAGGTGTAACTTTGCACTAAAGAAGATTTTAGTTGCATCACATCTTACAAGTACAGAAATAAATGCCTGGGTGATTTTATTCGCCGAGTATGAATTTTAAATCAGAATGTTGAATGTGGGTTTCTGACTGGGTTTGATGTAACCTTTTTTAACAGCCTTTTCATCACTTTCAGGGTATGTAGAGTGTTTGGTTCCTGGACATATAAACGACATGACGTGGATAAGTCAGGATTTTCAAATACTCCTCTGTTAAAAGTTAAAAAGCAGTTAAAATTGTACCTGCTGGTTCTTCATGCGAAAGCTAATGACAATTTCAAAAGGGAAGTGGACTTGCACCATCTTAAAGCAGTTATATGTATCAAACTGGTATTGGATATGCTCATTATTTTACAGATAAGTTGATAATTATTCAGGCAGAATGTAGAAACTGGAGGCAATGCAGCAATAATGAGCTTCCTGCGTGAAACGGATACCGAGAACAAACAACGTGTTTGCGAGTAGAGTAACAAATAGAAAAATTAAGCTCTATAAAAGTTGAATTTTGTGTATTCAGTTGCTACATTTCTCCTCTGTATAGCACTATAGTTTTATATCAGAGATTTACTCTGGAAAAACCTGTTTTGTTTCCAGCAATTTACCTCACAGAGAGAACACTGATGAGCAAAAGCCCTGGGCGTTTTTTTTTTTTGTTAAACTAGGAGCTTATGAAGAAAAAAACAAAACAAAAAACATCCAATGCTTTAAAGGTTTCTAAATAGTATTTGCATAAACCGCAGTGAGTTTCTTTGGGATGATTTGATTCTTTCTAAATCCAAATATGAAGCGAATTCTTTATTGTCCCACTATGGGGAAATTTACCCTCTGCATTTAACCCATCTCCTTGGGGAGCAGTGGGCTGCCATTGTTTGGCACCCAGGGAGCAGTGTGGGGTTAAAGGTTTTGCTCAGGAATCCAGAGTGGAGGCTGTGGGGATTGAACCGGGTATTTGCAACCTTTTCAGAGCACAAGCGCACTGCTCTAACCACTAGACCAACATCATTAAGGATATTAACAATTGTTGCATTAATCTGAATATTTTGTTGGATGGTCTGTGTCAGCATTTTTAGCTGATCCTGTTTTCCCCTAAGAAATGCGACATAAGATGTTATAGGAATTTGATCGATTATTTTTCTCTTTTGTTGCCGCCAGCACATGGGCGGTTCTAGACAGGGGCCAACGGGGGCCAGTGCCCCTGTAGATAATGTCCTGGTCCCTGGTATGGCCCCTGTACTGAATAAATAATAAGAAATTTTAATGATGGAACAGACATAGTTACTCATAGGTCCTTTGAATCTATTTAATTCTTTTTCTTTACAAATGCTGTTTTACTGATTATTCAAAAACAATAAGGCGATAGCTTCAGTGGTATTGAGATAGGATCCCTGTTTTCATCTGCTAAATGTTTTTTTTTTTTCACAACAAATAAAAAAATGCTCTAATTTTTACAGATGAATTTAACAGTTTTTCTTGAGTTCTAATTCAAATTTTATAGAAAACGGTAGTTTTAACTTAAATTAGGTCAAGAATATGTAAAATTCCTAAATGATAAATGTATATTGACCTCGTAAGAAATTGAATTTTTATTGAACCTAATTGAAAAGAAATTTCACTTCATGCAGCTCTCTTTTATATTTGAACCTCTTGCCCTGTTTTTTATTGCATGCTTTTCTGTGCACCCTTGAAAACACGCTGGCCCCCTCCTGGCCCCCTGGTACATTTGGTCTAGAACCACCACTGCACTAGCAGTGATTATTTACAGGTTTTCTAATGACTATTTCACATCATACTTTGGCAGTTAGCACAACTTACGCGGTTTGTTCTCTGATTATTCCTAAACCTGCAGTCTGTTTGAGTATTTCCAGAGAATTTAACTCCTTAACTTAACTCTAGATCCAGCATTTACTAAGGCAATCAGAGGTTGAAAACTCAATAGGATCAGAGCTTCCCTACTGTAATCTGTTTAACCTTCCTTTTTTTGTGTGGTGCTGAAAGCCTCACTCTGTAGTTGCCTGAATGTGAACCATATACACCTAAAATACATTTTCCTTTCAAACACCACCTCATATGTCTGTCCTTCCTCTTAGTTCATTTTAAACACCTCACAGAAGCTCGGAATACTTAACTTTGAGTTTTTTTCCACTCAACAAAACCATCCAAACTGTGCTGTTATCAGAGGAGCCTTGCAGGGCTTATGGCGCGTTCACTGACTGAAATGAGATCAGATATTTGAGCTTTTGACCGGTCAGGGCAGCTCAAGCTGAAAATTGTCCAATTCCAGTGCATCTCTACATAATAATTTTAAACTGCAGGGGGTTCAGGAGGGGATAATGCCGCTGCCCTTTCCTCCCCTAATGTGAAGACAGCAGAAGAAACCAGATGGAAGGCCATGCATTGATTGAGTCAAACAAAGCCTTTAAGAGGGACAAATTGAGTTGACAGGTTCATGGGTGGTGTTGTTATCATGTGAGGCGGCACAGTGGACCACAGGGCCAAAGGCAGCGTGACGAGTGGAGGCTAGAGCTCCTCTTTGATGCAACCTTATTTGGAGATTATTGGTTTGGAAAAGATGATCTCCATCGTGTCATTATGCACCTCAGACATGTCATGTTCCGGGGGCATTTCTGAGGCACAGTTAACTTTTCAGGCTTCGTTCATTTAGGTGCTATTTTCTGTTCTGTTCTATCTGATCGGAAATTAAGCCCAATTACGCATTGAGATGTCGTTTCTGTTGCAAGGAAAGCAAATGAGGAGCATCTTTTTTTTTTTTTTTGGGTGGGGGGGGGTTATGTTGCAGCAATAAAACCAGCAGCCTGTGTACACAGATCCTTATCTTCCCCTCATGTTCGCTGTGTGGCTACATCAGCCTGCAGACCTCAGAACGAGCCTCAGTCATTCTGAGCTGATCTTCATCAGCCGTCCTTTCAATCAACGAAGGTTATTATTCATAAAGCAGCATCTTGATTTGGATTAATATTTTACACTCTGTATATTTGCTTCCCTCTCACGCGGCAGAGGGATAAGATCCCCCGCTGTATCATATGGAAGCTGCAGGTTTAGAGTTTTTACCAGGTGACAACATCTCATTAAGCATACAGAAAAGGGCTTCCCTCGGCTGCGTGGAGCCCTGCTGCGCTTTATGACTGGTCTGCCACATTTTGCTCTGCTTGCTGCATCACTTCAAGCACCTTAGCTCTGTCTCAGTCCTGGCAGATGCATGCTGGGCCCATCAGGACCAGCTGAATCGTATCAGCGCACTGTTTATGTCGGAGGATTGTACGCAGAAGCCTGCTGGGTGGACCCAAGCCCCTTGTTTAGGCTGTGAGATGCTAGCTGCAGCCCAGCGGAGGCAGCCTTTCTCTGTGCTGCTGCTGACTTCGGTAATTAAAGGCAGAGGTAAGTCCAGGGGAGAAGGCTGGGCTCTGATTGCTTTTCATGGCGGTGAGGAGGGAGCTGCTGCACATCCTGGGGGACTGAGGCGCTGCTGAGCTCTCTGCTCCCCCCCCACCACCTCCTCAGCTGGGAAGGGCTCCAGGAAGACACTTGCACATACATTGTCTTGCATTGATATTCATACCCCTTGAACTTTTCACATTTTGTTGCTTTAAACACACAAACTTCCGTCTGTTTTCATTTGATTTTATGCAAATGATTAACCCCACAGTAGCGAACAATTAGAATAGAGAAAGTGGTTTTTAATACGTTTTCTTTTTTTACGAATTGAAATCTGAAAGACCCTTCTCTTAGCATGCATTTATTAGTCATCCCCCTTTACTCTGATACTGCAAATAAAAACTAATACAAATAGCTTCTTTCAGGAGTTGTGGATTAGTGTGTCTAGTATGTAATTTTATCTCAGTATAAATAAATAGAATTATTACATTCCTATATAATTGTTGAATAATATTATTACCATTGACCTCTGTTTTATTTTCGACCGTTACCTGACCTCAGTCACTAATTTCCATACATTTAGTGGGAATAAAAGACAATAAAGGAGCCAAAATGCCGATTATCTGCAGACAGTCTTTTAATGTGTTGCACCTGGAATGTATCGATCTAATGCACCAAAACAGCATTTCAGACCTTTATATTAT